TGCAGGCAGGAAATCCGATCTTCGACCGTTGAAAACCGGATATTTTGGGCATTGTGCGTGTGACATACTTACAGAATTACTCGCCTTCGGGTTATTGACATCGCAGCCCTGTATTTAGTTCAGTGCGTATGTTTTTTTTTTAAGATGTGTCTGTAGACATTGGGGGACAAAATAATGACCCTTAGCTTTATGGACCGAGTTGGAGGGACTGAATGATATGAAAACTAAAGAATTTAAAACAATTCCAACACTTTCCCGAATTATACATAGTAATTTTTGCTTAGGTTCTACTGAAGGTTATTGTCTAATACCAAATTCCTTCTCCATCGGTAGATGGGTTTATTCGGAAAGCGGCAGGATGTTTTGCTAGAAGAATTAATGAATTGGGTGTTTTTTTGGGACCAAACAGCTTAAAGCAAAATCAGTTTGTATCTTTACAAGATTTTGATTTCAATAGTTGTTTTCAGGTGAAGAGAATTTCTAGGCGTGATCGATAAACTGGTTTCCCGTTCACAGGAATATTGCCGGTAATTAAACAACTGACCAACTGGCTAAGTCAGGAGCCTCTCAAGACGAAGCCTAGACGTTATTAATTAGATCCCCCTGAATGGACAAGGTATTCCTACGGTTTTTTTACGCAAAACCTCTTATCTAAAGAAATGATATAGTCCTCCGATGAATTTTAGTAGAAACGTGGAATTCATTATACAGTTATTTAATGCTTTGGGATGTAAAGAGGCTTTTTCTGCGTATATAATTACAGTCGGAGGGCTATACTCAATACCTATCCCCGCGTTCAACTCGTGCTACTTGGACACGTAACCAACCCGTGTTTAGTATTGGTCACGGCTGTAAGACGAGTAGTCTCTTGACCGAAGCTGCGACTGCAAGCGGACGTCAGTCTTGAAGCAGAGCTCCGATATATAAACGCAAAAAAAAAAAAATAGTTTATCTAATAGCGAGGGTATGGAACTCGGCCTCAGAAGCCAGATTCAATGAAAACGGTTAAAACGCCTCGGAAGTGAGACTCTCTCACTTTGGATGCAATCTTATTGAGGATTATGATTTGGACCCAATCACCTGGAATGTTCGGTTGGTTGGTTGATATCCTTGTAAAACCAAAATTTAACATCATTAGTACGAGAAGTGAAACATCCCCAAATTAGTTGAGGCTGATCGACTTCCCCGTGGCCCGATATATGGTTGTTGGCAGTACTAGATTCTAGCCCAAGCGAATTCATCAAGCTACTTAACTGTCTCCAGATCAAAAAACTCATAAACATGTCGACCTTGTTGTGATAGACGGAGTGTTATTGACGTGGGTACGCTTCGAAGACCTAATATCAACCAGGATCGCAGCCTACCTTGCGACGTTACTATCAATCACTATCACATCACAGTAGTGATGAAGATAGTGGGGTGATGTAGATAACGGAAATTGAAGAGGGGATCAAAAACATATATGCAGACAAATAAAGAAAGAGGATGATATGCGTGAGTATGGAGAGTTTGAGAAGCTTACCGACAGGGTATTGCTAGAAAATTTTACGTAATGATGAGGTGACTTATAGACAGTTTCAAGACCAGAGAGATTCCCCTAGCACCCAGAGAGTTGGTCTAATGGCTGATGTCTAGAGTATATCGAATTTATGGAGTGACCACTTCTCCAGCCTGCTGAATGTTAGTGAAAAACAAACAACAGGAGATGGTGAACCTGATTACCTAATCGATGATAATGTATATGTATTTCAATCAGAGTGTACAGCAGCTCGCTTATACCGATGATATTGATATCACTGGCCTCAATAACCACTCCTTTAGTTCCGCTTTCTCTAGACTGGACTGGATAAGGTAACGAAGCCTGAGAGTCTGGTAGTAAAGTGGGACAAGATGAAATACCTTCTGTCGCATAAGCTATTCGGTTCCCACGCCACTGTTGACGATCATAATTTCGAGGTCGTAGATAATTTTGTCTACCTTGGAACCAGCATTCACTCCATAAATAATGTCAGCCTTGAAATTCAGCATAATAATTCCTGCCAAAAGATTTTACCTTGTACTGAGTGCAAAATTGAGAAGTAAAATCCTTACTCGACAATTAAGACCAAACTCTAAAAGTCACTCATCGTTCCGTCCTGCTATATGGTGCGGAGGCATGGACGATAACAACAAATATTTTGCGAACGATGTGTGGTCCTCTACAAGTTGGAAACGGTAAATACCGCAGCCCAAGAGATAGGTGAGATGAAGCACTTTAGCGTCAGGGAAAACCACCAAGATCATGTGCTTGCTTATACGTTCACGTAAGGAACGTTCACGTGTTTTACCTGACATCCCATGCAAGCAGAATGGGCATTAGTAGCAGTAATACATGCAGAAAGCGCAGGAAGGAGGCAAAAATTAGACTTTAGAACTGCACCTCTGTTTCTGTATGGCAAATATTACGAAGCTTTTAATTGACGCGCAGTGTATTTTTTTATTGAGCTGTATATAATCCGCAGTTATGACGTTAATAATTTAAAAATTAAGCAGTTTTCGGAAATTTCGTGAATTTTGTATTATCAACTTAAAATAAAATAAAACAAACAATTTAGTCACGCGCATATCGTGTTTCTTATACTGCAAAATTATTATTTTTTTTTTTCAAATAAAAATCCAATTTTTATTTAATTTAATATACCGAAAAAAATCGCCGTGAACCTGCGTTGTCGCCTTTCCATTATTGGACAACACTTCCTTGTGCACCTCTTTCGTTTCATCTAGATATAAATATTTAACAGTAATAATGCAAACAAAGTAAACAAAAAAAAAAAAAATAAATGACTAATAGCATTTTTATCGATTAATATTTTTCGCTCATACAATGCAATCGAACGCCATAGAGATGCCTCATTTGCTGATTTACTCGCGCGCTCTTCGCTGACCTTGCGCATATTTTATGAAATTAACGATGAAGTAAAAAGAAAAAAAAATATTTATTGAAATATATGAAATTAAAAAAAAAAATATTTATAAACGAAAATAAAAAAAAATACACACGTGCATTTAAACAAAATTTAAACGTAACAAATAAATTTCGCAGCCAACCTACCTGACAGTAAATATTGTGCGTTCGCATATTAATTGAGCGCGTGATTGAGCGATTTTCAGTTTTTTCCTCATACATTTTTACAAATCAATGTTTAATTGTTTGTTGTTGCCAATTTGGTTACACGCTTGATTCGCTCTGCGTCTTTGCTCATCCATAAATAAATCACTTTAGTTATGTGTGTTGGTAATGAATGCAATTAATGGCTATGTTGGCTAGTAAGGATATTGCTCCCTTTGAATCACTTAATTTGTTGGCTTAAGTTTTTGTATTCTTTTGCCAGTTTACTTAAGTCACTTAAAAGATCCTTGATTCAAAAGGCATAAATCACTCATTCTGTTGTATTTTATGCGAAGTCTGCATACTAATTTATGTGAAATAAATAATAAATAATGAGAAATGATAACGACAGAAATCAAGAATCACGCCATCTTTAGTAGTGCAGAAAAGCAGAATACTCAGATTTACGATTTATTGTAAGAAGACTGACGAGGAGTTGTGCGGATCTCTGAAACTTATATATCTTCCATATACATGTTGTTGTTGTTATTATTTTTGTTTTAACCTCAAAATTATTTTCCAAAGTATTTTTTGGGAAATGTTGCGGTAGTGACAGTACTTGGCCGGATAAAAATTCGGGTCGTTCCGGTATAAAGACCCGAAAGACTGTCCCGGGAGCTATTGGATTTTAGTCGCCTCTTACGACAGGCATGCCTTACTGCGGGTAAATTTTTGAACCCCTAACCCACAGGGGTCCTACATGAAATCGGTGGACTATATTATATAGCCACTATACAAGTGATTTTTCAGAGAATTAATATTATATTCTAAAAGGAAATACCATAAATTAATATAGTCATGCGAGGTATAAACACTTCGGCATGGCTGAAGACAACTCTTATTTTTTGTTTAATATAATTCTTTTTAAAATTTTCCATTTCATAATTTTTTCCTCACAGATCTTTATATGTATATATATAAAAGCCTTTGTACTGAGAGCCTGACGGATCAATCCACATCCTAAACCCTGATCGTAGAGATCTTAAACTCGGAGGGTATTCTGCGTAAAACGATTTATTCGAAAAACAGATTTTGGATGTGTAGTTTTTGGCTCAGTCTAACAGGGGGAACATTTTTCCTTCGGGTCAGGGTAGGATTGACCTATTCGATAAAAAGAAATGAAATTTGCCACACAGGCAGTTTTTTGTCTAAATAACTATCACTTTTGGCGGTAGCGGAGCCAAGTGGTTAGGCGGCTTAGTATAAGCTGTGGGTCTCTCCATTTGGAAAATAAATTTCTTTTTGCCTGGGAACAGCGATCGATTCATATGAAAATATCGTATTTAGTGTTCAATTTGTTTGATATTTGGAAAATAGAAAGCTCTTTACTGCCTACATATGTAGTTTAATATATGGAATTTATTCTTTTCGGAACCGACCTATATTTTTGGTTTTGGATAAAAAAGACTTTGAAGTTGATTCTCCGGAAATTTAGAGAGATGGGAAAAGGAGTAATGTAAAATCCCGCAAACTCCGATCTTCAGAAAAAAAATTCTAACCGGCAGAATGAATGGGGTTTATTGTTAATTGCCTGTTGCGAATAAAGTATTTAAGGGCTTGATAGGTCTCACAAAATTATATATAAAAGCTTTAAAAACAAAAAATGAAATAATAAATATATTTTTTTAATATTATAAATGTTTAAATATTTTTTTAAATAAAATATTAAATTAAGGTTAAATGAAACAATGGATGTGCGCAGCCCAAGTTCATATCCTATTCGAACAAAGGTGTCTGGAAAAAGAAGTCTGATGAGGAAACGTGGTGGTTTCCGAAATAGCAGCCATAACTTCTACCGTCAAAAACTGTTGTTGTAATTTTTTCTAAAAAAATATAAATAGACAGTTCCATGAAAAACCGAAACAAATTTGTTTTTTAGTTTTAAAAGCTTTTATATGACACATCTGCTTGAAATTTTCCATCACCAAAGCGCAAACTGTCTGCTGTATGCCATAAATAGCTTCACGAAATCTACCGTTGAGGTCTTTAGTCGACGTTGGCGTGTTGGCACATCTTTTCGATGGAGAATAGGCAAGGTGTTAAAGAACAAGATCCCGGTTTCCAATTGCGATCACCTCTTCGAGAGATAACACGGTGCGGAAACTTTCCCTTAACAGATTGATGGCTTATTTGCTTGTGTGGTATGTAGCACCGTTTTGTTGAAAGTATAATCATTTATCATCTCCCATTAGCGCCAGATCCTGCCGGAATCATAAACCGCACCAAACAGTTAACAATAAATCTTGGGTTTTCCAAGCCCCCAAATGCGAGAGTTGTGCTTAGTGACGTAGCCAGCAAGGTGGAAATGGGCCTCAGCAGTCAATATGATTTTTCGATGAAATTCCAGATCAATTTCCGCTCAGAAAAGACACGACGTTGTTGATGATCGGTTAGCTTGAGGTTAACTGAATTTTAAAAGCCTTAAATGGGTCTTTATGTAATATACGGTGTAATGACGTCAAAAAAAAAACAGCTTCAAAAGTAACATCTACTCGAATATCCGGCTATTCAAAATAACACTTCTTTTTGTAAAACCCTTTATTTTTTCGATAGCTTTTTCCGATGAATTTTCGATAACAAAAAAATAAAAAAATGTGTCGAATCCGTTATGATTGATTGAGCTACTAATTACGAAAGGAAGGAAAGAATACAGTTGGGAAATGGATTAAAGTGCGGTGGAGACAAACAAACTACATATATACGATTCATTCAAGCAATAAACTCATTTTTCTCAGAGTCTGGTCTGGTCTAGAGCGCAAAAAAATGGGCAAATTTTATGAATTTCTTTTGACCCAACAAAGGAATCAATCCAAAATCTGTGAAAAAGTTTAATAATATAGGTTTTATGGTACAAATACAAAATGTTTCGTGTGAATTAATTTCAAAATGGTCGCAGTCCAGCATTTCTCCGAAGACGCATTTTTTTCTAATTGGTCCATTGCCGAAGATCTAAACTTCTTAGTGTTTGTCCTGGATCAAAAAATAAAATTTTTTTAGTCTCTATATAACAACAGCAAGAGACGAACGTAGAATTTTTTTGATATTTTGTTTTCTGTTTGAACAAAAAGTTAAAATTTTCACTATAAAAAAACAATATAAAATTGTTGATTAAAAAAAACTATGTAATATAAAAAAATCCTGCGTACGTATTCGGAGAACGGTATTTCGAATATACTGCTGAAATTTCGTAAGAATCGGTGAAGATTTGTTCGAGTTATGCCTTCGGCCAGTTTAAATAAAGTGATTTCGAGAAAAACGCGTTTAAAGTTGTAGATCGCTCGGGGCATACGAGGTGTGTTCAAAAAGTATCGCGAATTTCCGCTCGTTACGTATAATCGAATTTCGATTTTTTTGTGCCGTTATGTTGGTACTCATCTCTGTCACTTATGCCGACAAGCTCGGCCATTTTGAATGTTCACTTAATGGTTGAGAGTTGCTTTGCTTGCACGTGTTTTGGATGGTCTTCGATTTTTATCTATTCAAAAAAAAATCGATCAAAGAACCTGTATCAAATTTTGTGTGGAAAACGAAATTAAGTGCGCGGATGCATTCCGCATGTTGACTGTGGCATACGGAGAAGCTACCTTGGACCGAAGCAACGTTTATCGCTGGTACAAAATGTTCTCAGAAGGCCGAGAAGATGTGAACGACGAAGAGCGTGCCGGACGCCCGAGCACTTCAACAAAAGACGAAAAAATTAACTACAAGAGCGTGGTGCATCATAAGTTCTTGCCACAGTGTAGAACGGTCAATAAGGAATATTACCTGTAAGTTATGCGCAATTTGAGCGAAGCAATCCGCCAGAAACGCTCGGATTTGTCGAAGAACAAAAATTAGCTTTTGCACCACGATAACGCCCTGCTCACACATCCTTGCTTGTGCCCGACTTTTTGGCCAAAAACAACAAACTAATGATGCTGCAGCCACCGTATCCCCAGATCTGGCCCCCTGTGACTTTTTCTTGTCCCCTAAAGGACGACGTTACGCTACGATTGACGAGATAAAGATGGCATCGAAGGAGGAGCTGGACAAGATAAAAAATGATTTTTTGAAGTGCTTCGAAGATTGGAAAAACCATTGGCACAAGTGTATTGTATAATATCTCATGAGGATTACTTTGAAGGGAACAAAATAGATATTCATGAATAAATAAATAATTTTTGAAGAAACTCAAAATTCGTGATATTTCTTGAACACACCTCGTACCTGCGAAGCACTGCTGTCGAATGAAAATCTTGGGCATTTAGACATTTTTGCCGGCATCCATCTTTTGGTATGTTATTTCTAAGACCCTAAAACATCTTTTAAGACAAAAATTTTTTTTTCGATTTTTTCAAAACTCTAGACCTATACCCTTAAGCGACTTAATCTGAAAAGATAAACGCAATTACGTTTAGTGATTTTTTCGGGTTATGTTAAATAGTTAATTATCCACTTTTTGTCATAAAAATAGGCCAGACATTATATGCGCGTCTTTGAGCTCTTTTCAATATTTTTTTTTAAATTTATTTCACATTTTGTGATTTTTATTATATATTTGCAATATGCAAACCTTCTCTTCAACAACTAAAAGTCATATGCTAATTACACTATTATCTGTTTAAGAGGTATTTTTGCCTATTATGCACATAGATATTGCGAGATAACAGTGTATTATGTTAGTTAAGCTCAGGTGGTATGTATTTAAATGAAACGTCTCCGACATTACCACACTGTGATTTTTGTGTGTAAATTTATTTATTTTTTTTTTGTTTAGGCATATGTATATATTTGAATATAATAATATGGGTAAGCTAATACTTGTACGTATTCATGTGTATGCTCATTTATTAACAAATGTTCAAGCCCATTGTTTGATTAGTTTGATGTGTTAATATCTGATTTTGATTGATATTCAAATTTTTTTTATTCGTAACATCTTTTTTTACTGTTTTCTTTTGTTAACTTTGTATGCTTTGCAGGCATGTGAACAAATCTCATGAAGTGTTGTTGTTTTTTTTAGTTATGATAGGCATTTTGAAATTATGAAGATTATAAATATGCTGGCTGTAGGTAAGTCAAAGATGCCGGAAAAACAGTAATCAATTGGCGATGTTTCAACTTAATTCAATCACTTAAGGCCCGTTCACACTAGCAAACTAGTGATTGCATTGGTATTTGTGTAAATTTTATTTATAAAAATTTTGTCTGCTTCCGAGGCATTCTAATTGTAGATTTTAAAATTGATACTTCATATTGGAGTGTTGAGAAAAATGAAAGCAGCAAAAAAAGAATTTTTAATTGAATTAAATTGAATGCTATATTTACTGTTGTTAGAATTATCCGAGTAATGTCAAATATGCACCATTTGTTTGCTCGATAACTTTTTGCCATTTTAAAGGTAATGTTTTTATGCCTCTCCCTATTTGCAAACGAAAAATGTGATAATCGATTTTTACATGGCGCTTGGCCGTCAAACTGCTTATAGTACAGGCCCATATTAAGAGTTTCGTAATAGAGAAGGAGCTCAAAGTGGATGAATCCTTGCGAATCGCACCCAACACACAATAAAATCCTCCTGTCCGTCAAACCTGGCTTGGAGCCTTTCGACTACGACCGTTTTCATTTGACGTTGCTGTAAGGGAGGCACTTGCTATCATCCGCTTTGTAAATGGTTCAATTTTGTTACGATACAGCAGCGCTTCGCTGATGGAAATTCGGTCTATGGAGGTTTTTCACGCCAACTCATGTGACAGTCATATATCGAGCTTTTTCGTGTGTCCAGCTTTTTTCAAGTGGACTTAAACTGTTTTATTGTGCAAAGTTTAGCTCTTGTTTAGCAATGGAAACAGTGCTCACATGATGGTCCGACTTTCCGATTCCCATTATTTATCGATAATTTTTTTTACATTCCATATAACCGGAAGAAAACCGTCGCAACCAAAAGGATAATTGTTACGGTTTCAGGATCATCAGTCCTATTTGATCAACATTTTTCTTGTTATGTTATTTAGTAAAAAATATCATATTTCTGAAGCCATCTTGCGTAATTCAATCACATTTATATAACGCGTGTTACAGATCATTAAAGACATCTACTGTAAAATAATGGATTACTTTTTACATGTAATAATATTTTATAAAGCAGTTTAATAATTTAATATTGCTGGCAAATCAGCTTAAGGTTTTAAATTATTCGATTTATTCGATATTGGAATATTCCTTTCACCTGCAAGTAATTTTTCTTATAATCAATTTTTTATTATTTAATACTTATGAGGCAGTAATTTCATTAAAGAAATATCAATAGCAAAGTACGTACTCTCCCTACTTGTTAAGTTCATAAGCCGATTACTTTTCTATTTACGCATGGACTTTGGATTAAGTCTCGGTTAGAAACAGATTATGAAGCAATAATTAGTGATATCGACAATTTCAGCAAAAGCAATTTATCCCAGCCATTTAATAACGACGTGAAAAAATATTGACTCATTCAATTAAAAACAAAGTTATTCTAAAAAAAAAATGATATTTTATTGTATTACTTTTTGAAATCCATAATGAAAGAAGTTGCTACAAATTCGCGAACATTGATTATTGTGATTGAATAAACCCCTAAAAGAAGAAGAAGAAGAAAATAACAAATAAACTACTTTTTACATGAAAAGAAGTTTTATATATGATACAAAGGAGGAGGAAGACTATAAGTGGGGTCTAAAACCATTTATTGTTCATTAAATTCTTAAGGTTCACTGCAAAATTAATGGGAAAATACAAATGCTCGGGAGTGACAAAGCCAAGGTAGACTACGGAAATCACTCCTCTAAGAACGTTAATTTTAGGCTACCAAACTACTGCAGCGTCTTCGAAGCAGAGCTTATTGCATTCACTGAAAATGCAGAATGGTTACTGGGATCCCTGGTTCCAAACTAGTCAATCAGTATATACCCTGATAGACAAGTAGGCAACAGTCCTCATCAATGTAATTACACTACATCAAAAGCGGAATTAAAATGCAGAATTACGTTAAGCAAGCTCTTGGCTAGATGCAACACAGCTGTGGTCTGGTTGGCCGGACATAAGTACATCCGAGGCAAATGTATGGTGGATTAGTTAGTGAGAGATTACATTAAATTCTTTCACCAAAACAACCAAGAATCTGTGGCTTAGTGAAAGTACCTGCACCGTGACTAAGCAGCCTATGTTGGAAGGCAAAAGATCAAGGAATCTAATTCCTCTAACTAACTGCACATTATTTAAAGAGACTTCGCAGTGGGAGTGCGGAATACGATAGAACATAAATATCGATGACATTACTACTTTGATTGCCTGTCTCACGTAGCAACAGCTGGTATAGGCAGTATCGCATTGTTCATAAGCCACACAAAATGGTTCGTACATCCACCAATAATATGGTTTCAGGCCTGCCTAATATGATGAGCAAATGCATCAACTCAACTCAATGCCTATTTGTGATTAAGGTTCGCTCGTATTCTGTCCGTTAAAATTACCAAATTTTTAAATTTGTATTCGGATGTTCGGAAGACCATTTACTGTTATTGGTATCTGCTGCAATTTCATTGTTTTATTGGAAAACTGAGCCGGATAATTTAATGTAGATAATCAATTTATTTAAAAAGTTTATGAATTATATTAAGTTCCTTTTATTTTAACTGTAAGATAAAAAGTACGATCAAGGAAGAAAAGAATTGGTCGAGCTGCTAATGTTTGAAGACATATTTTTATTTATACTCCTAATTTAAGTATAATTGCCATTTCGATATTTTTCAAACAAATGGAGGGGCCTACAGTTTATAGCATTTGAAACCGAGCTTC